GCTTACTGTGGCCCCTTAGACTGTTTTCAGCCTCTGCTGCAGGCATTTAGCACTCAGTCACTGGGGACTGGAAGTTCAGAGAGTGGAGGAGAGAAAGGTAACGCACACAAGAGAGGATCAGAGAACCATTTAAAGTGCAGTCACGAAATACCTGGTTACCGAAGTATCAGCTTTGTTACTGATGAGAACTGACTGAGGGGTAAATCCTGGAGGGTAAGGAACAAAAGATTTCCTAATGCTTGCGGAATCTCAGAACTGAACGAACCCACCCGTTTTAGGAAACACCCCCAGCTCTCAGGGGAAGGACACAGCGTGCCTGGCGCTGCCAACCCGCCTGGCGCTGCTAACCCGCTACTCCGTCCCAGTGTGCCTGCGCTCTCCCTGCCGCCCCCAGCTCAGTACGCAGGCTCCTGCACGTTGCTTACAGACTTACAACTTAGGTCAAGCCTCTCACCTCTCATAGGCAGAGCTGTTTTAAGGAAATTTTTTTCTTGGACGTTTGTGTTTTCTCCCTCCCGTGTGATGAGAGAGTCCCGGGAGGTGGCAAGGTGCCCTTTTGAGGTCTCAGGAGAAGAATTAAATTCCCCATGTCCTGGAGTTGAATGGAAGCCGACATGTGTCAAGCACCCAGCTGGGTAACTGAGGAGTGAGCCCTGTACAATCCAGCCAAGCACGGTGGTCCACACCTGTCACTTCAGCACGTTGGGAGACTCGAGGCAGGAGGCTCAGAAATTTGACCCCAGACTGGGCAGCTTAGCAACCTATTGAGACTAGTCTCCAAGACTATAAAAGGGGCAAGGGTGTCGCTCAGCACTCAAGCCCTGGGTTCAATCCTTAGCACCATGCAAAACAAAAACCTGGTTGAGAGAGGCTTGAACCAGATGCTGATGGGGATTCATTAGAGAGGCGCGCAGCAAAGAGACATTCAGAAGGTACAGGCCTAAGGCCCTGCGCGGATGCGTGTGTTGGGAGCGGACAACTTTGGGAAAGAGCCCCACTGCCTCTCGCTGATAGCATAGGGAACAAGCTATTTAATTTGCAGCCTTTAGTGTCAGGAACTAAGGACATCCTCTTTCAGTTGTGCTCGTTTCTCTTATCACTGTTGCCCAACCCCATTCTCTGATACTGGTCCGCCTCGCTGTCTGGAAACTTCTATATTCCTTTCAAGCTTCTGCTCTGGGACACTCAGCGCCTGTCACTCCGCAGACACTGCCAGGTGTGCACCAGTAGGGCCCACCCCCAGTGCAGGTGCGGCTGCTTCCAGGCTGAGAACTTACACCCACTGGGTGCTAGAAGCTCACCCAGAGCCAAAAGTTGTTTGCTAAGTGTGCATCTAAGACATGCTGTCACCTGGCAGGAGTTTATGTTTTTGAAAAGAAATACCTACACAAATGATCGTGATAAAAACCCTATGGAGGAAGGACCACCACTTAGAGGTTTGAAGGGAAAATGGGTGGAAAAGAGAAAAAAAAAAAAAAAAGAAGAGGGTGAGAAAATAAACTGAGACCGTGTATGTGGTATCATCAAAAACTTTATATAGATTGTGGTTTTAAGTTAAAGAATAGGCATATTTTTGGTTGACAAATAAAAATAGGCTATTTTATGTAGAGAAAGTAACATAATAAATGGCATAAAGCATAGGAAAGGAGAATGTGCAGCAACCCGGGCAGCCTGAAGCATGGAAGGTAACCGAGAGCACTTGTCACTGACGACTAGGGCCCGAGCAGAGGGAGAGAGCAAGGAGCCAGATGGTGGCACAGTCGGGACACACATGGTGTCAACCTAGTGCATTTGCCATATTGTATGGGGATAGTGCATGGCACCCCAAACATCAGAGCCCTCCTGGTTACAGGTCACCACAGAAAGCTCTAATAATCAAAAGAAAACTTGACGTATTAGAAGAACTAACAAAGTGACACAAAGACAAGATGTGAGCACTTGCTATTGCAATCTGATGCCTATCGATTTGCTTGAATCTTCAATATGTAAACAGCGTGGCATCTACAAAGTGCAGTGAGATGGGGTCCAGAAACACAAGGTGTGACTGTGTTAGGAGAGCTGGGCCGTCTTCCTTGGTGGCTGCTCATTTGTGGTGCCCTCCTGCTGTCTGGGGAAGAGAAGAGAAGGTGCGCTGAAATGTGGCTGCTCCTGCCGTCGTGTACTTGAGACTAGCGTGAGGCCTTGTGCTATTTGTATATTACTATTCTTAGTAACTGTTTCCAGACAAGAGCTTCAAAATAAAAACCTCTTTTCTTTCAGCTAAGAAAAAGAAGCCTAAACTTTTAAATAAATTTGATAAAACTATTAAGGCTGAACTTGATGCTGCAGAAAAGCTTCGTAAAAGAGTAAGTTGAGATTTCTGTTATCCACAGATATGTACAATGCTTTTATTGGTAAGTAAATGCAGGAATTATACTATTTTAAGATATTATAATAATAAGAGAGTAATAATAAATGTCAAAGAAACAGCCTTTGAATAGAGTTGATTTTCCCCCAGGCATATCATTATTGGAAAGGCTTGTGCCAGTGGCCAGCTCCCCTTCTGGACAGCTGACTTAGATGTTAGCCCACCTCTACCATGTTGTAGTTGTGTGGAATTCGCAAAATCACTTGGCCATTCTGATCCTCACATTGCTTATTGAAAAAAATGAGAGTGATGAGTATTTTTTCTAGTTTCTCTTTGCTCTTTAGTAGAGATCAAATGAGATTAAAAGAACAAAAAGTATCAACACTGTCAAGTACCATATTAGTGGAAGGTTTTAAGTACACCACATCAATGTAGAAAAAAGAAATAAAAAGTAGATGAGTCCTACACTCCTGGAATAATTATTGGTGGTGAAATGAAACTACAATTAACATTATTCTCACTTAAGGTTAGCCTCATATTCCTCTAGTTGTCCATGTGACTATTTTATTTTTTCCATGTGACTATTTTATGTTTGCTTTGTCATTAGCTGATTTAAAATATTTCTGTTCCTTTGTAGATACATTTTTGATAACACAAATTTGACACTAATTTGAAATTAGGTACTATTATAATTTGTTCATTTTCACACCTTAAAATTATCAGACTCCAAAATACTATCATATAGTTAAGATCTTTAATCATCTGCTTGTTTTTCTGAAAATTTCTGTTTCTTTGCTTTGAACTTAAATTTAGACTCTGTACTGCTCACTTGTTTTTCTGTAAAGTGCTTTTTTATCATGTAGACATTGCTGCAAAGGCAAAGGAAGGGAAAGACCTGGCAGCGCAGTTGTGGAATGCTCTGGAATGTTCTCCAGCAGCTTCCCATGCTCCAACAGCAACTTCTGCACAGTGACTGGATCATGGGGTGCTGCACTCATGTGGTGGATTCACCCAGTGGTGAGATCAGTGGCTCAGTGTGTTGCTCAGAGGGGTGGCCTGTTTGGAAGAGACAGGTCACAGGCGACATGCCCTGGAAGGTCATTTCCCTCCTGGCCCTCGCCTTTCTCTGTGCTTCTGGCTGCTGTGACATGAGGAGTTTCCCTCCACAGTGCCCCTCTGGCATGCCGTGTCTGCTGTGAAGCCAGCCAACCACGAGCTGTAGTTGTGACCTCTCCCTTAAATTGTAGATGTTGTGTGTTGGTCTTAGTAGAAAAGAATGTGACTAAAACAATAACCAACAATGATAAAGGCACATACGTTAAAAACACATGTGACAAAAATGAACTTCCACATACTAGTTACTGGTTACTGGAAATGAAACAGGAAGCATAAAAGCCTTTACAAATAACAGGAGACAAGGTTCTAAAATGAAGATTTGGCCTGCTGTGCTTGCTGGTTAGTAAACATGTAGTAACTCCGAAGAATATTATAGCAAAATCATTCACTTCCTCTAATTTTAACTGGCTGAAACATTTCTAGCCAATCTTACTAACCTTTGTGAAGTTAAATCAACGACAATCTGTGGAACATTTGCATTTCTTAGTAGAAGTAGAGCAGCATCATCCTTTTCTTTCTCCTCAGTTAGCATCCTACTCTTTTTTTCATAAATGGACTGGATGCCATTTATGTGAAAATGTAGGATGCCAGTCGCACAGGGAACTTTGGAAATAAAGCACAAGTGAGCAGTTCTAAAGAAAGGTTTTTATGAGTCATAATGAGTGGAAGGAAGGGCTCAGTCATCAAGGGGCACATGGGTCAGTGGGATGTGTAACTGCGCTGGATCTCCCCTGGGGCATTCTCCATCCAGCTTATTTGGGAAAATTATGTTTTCCTTCATGAACATTGTGAAGCTATAGCAAGTCAAATAAAGGAGGGAGAAAGGATTACACGTGCATTTGTTTTGAAATGACTGGGAGCTGTATTACAGACTGAATCATCAGCATAATTATGTCTTCCTAAAAGTTTATTTATTTATATTTTTAAAATGTATTTGGTACAGGGGCTGGAGAGATGGCTCAGTGGTCTAGAGCACCTACTTGGAACAAGCTTAGCAAAAGCATCAGGGACCGCGGTTCAATCCCCCAGCACCACATGCCAGCCAGCCTGCCCCCTGGTGGGCTGAGCTGGCCACACACACACACACACCTCTCTCTCTCTCTCTCTCTCTCTCTCTCTCTCTCTCTCTCTCTCTCTCTCTCTCTCTCTCTCTCTCAAATAAATAAATAAATAAAAATTTAAAAAAAAATGTATTTGGTACAGGCTCTCACTATGCAGCTCAGACTCCTGGTGATCCTCCTGTTTTCAGCCTTCCCAGCCCTGGGATTATAGGTGTGCGCCATCATACCTGGTCTCAGTGGTCCGCTCAGCGCGCCCTGGGGTGGGGCTGCCATGGCATGTAGTGCTAGGGATCTAATCCAGACTAATCCACAGGCACTTAGTCCACTGATCTATCTCTCTGGCCCTTTAAAAGTTTATTTTTATAGCTAGTACTTTCAAAGGATGCAATTTAATGCCCTGCAATAACTGAAGACTAGGTCAAGGTAGGCCCAGGACATAGCCAGTTCAGCCTCAGTTCACAGCTCTGGTTCAATTACTGAACTATGAAAAAGTACGTGTTCACTTTCTTTTTTTACTCAGAAGTGTAGACCATATTTTACCGATCTATTTTTTAAAAATATTATTTATTATTTAAAGTTTTGTATATCTCCAAAAAGATTTGAAATGATGTAATGAACTGTATGTATTTGTTGGAATCATTTATTATTATTTTATCATAAATGGACATGAGGGTCTGGGGAGATGGCTCAGTAGAATAAGCGCTTGCCTGGCAAGCGCAAGGGCCTGAGTTCAATCCCTGGTTCCACCAAAAAATAAATAAGAAAAAAGGGCAAAGTAGGAGGAATGTGGCAAAGTCAGAGCAAGGCTAATGCACAAAACTTCAGACCATACTATAGGCTTGAAGTCATACAAGCAATGAAATCACCTGAGCTTTCTGTAGGATGTAAAAGCAGACTTAAAAATTAAGATGCTTTATCAGCATTGCTGTCTACACCAAATACAAGAAAAATATTCTTTTGTGATCTTGGTAAAGGCTGTAGTGATGGGTGCGACTTCCCACCACCGTGCTGGTGGCTCCTGTGGTAGCTGCCTTCATTAGTGCATCGCAGTGCCCTTTAGCCCCACCCACTGGCCTTGTGCCAAATGAAACTGCGGCCTAAGCACACCGCTAGTGAGCTGTCTCATTTCTAGAACAAAAAATAAGGTAAGTTGGGGAGCAGAGAATTTTTGGTAATTATTTACAAACATGTCATTTTAGATAAGAATTGAAAGACAGTATTAGGAACTATATGAAATCCTTAGAAAGGAAATTCTTTCAGACTAAACACAAATATAATACTGTTATGGGCTGTTGATGCTGAGAATAGTAGCATAGTCCTTTAGCAAGGCCACCCAGCCCCTCTCCTGAGTAGATTCAAAGGGTGCCTGGGACACAGCCAAAATATTTCATTAGCTTCACAACCATGAAGGTGTCAGGGGAACAATGTGCTCCATCATACTTACTATGAATATTGTTCCTGTCTTTAATCTGGCAGTGGTACATACGGTGGAGCAGTCACAAAATCAGCTCTTGCATTTGCCACTTAAATGGATAGGATACATAATGGGCCTAAAAATGTCCCTCCATAAAATGCTCATGTGCTACTCCCTCAAGCCTATAAATGTCACATTATTTGGGAAAGGTTCTTTGCAAATAATACTAAGGGTTTGGGTTTTTTTTTTTTTTTTTTTTTTTGGTGGTGGTGGTGCATGCTGGAGATTGAACTCAGGGTCTTGTGCATGTCAGGTGAGCTCTCTACCCACCCAGCCACTTCCCTAGCCCATAAGTAAAGAATCTTAAGATGAAATTATTCTGAATTTCTATTTGTGCCCTAGATATAATTTTTTTAAAATAAGGATTAGAGGGAAATTTGACTCAGAACAAATAGAAGGTCACCCACACAAATAAGACTATTCAGCATAAAGAAAGTAGAGATTGGAGCATTGCCACCATGAGTCAATAAATATTGGCAAAAGGCAAGGGCCTCTAGAAAGAGCAAAGGCTTGTCAACATGTTGATTTCAGCCTAGAGAAACTAATTGTGGACATCTGTTCCCAAAAATTATGAGAACAAATTTCTCTTACTTTAAGCCACCAAGTTTGTGACAATCTGGTACAGCCTCCATAGGGAACCGATACAGATTTTGGTGCTGAGCTGTGGAATATAGCAATACCTAAATGTGTAGAAGGCCTTGGAATTGGAGAAAAGGTTGAGGTTGGAAGAATGCTGAAATGCATCCTAGAAAATTTCTGAATTGCCTTAAGATGTTGGTAGCAACGTGGATGCTAAACATGCTTCTAGTGAGGGCTCTGGAGGAAGTGAAGAAGAAGCAGAGTTGAGAAAGCTCCTTTCATCTGTCAAGAACACAGATACCATAAAGGATGGAGGGGTGTAGAAACGTAGCCGATAAAAGTCGCTGTGGCAAGTACCCAGAAGAATATACTATTGAAAACTACAGACAAAGTGCCCCCTTCACATAGTGGAAGAAAACTTATCTGAGTTGCATTTTAAAGTTATGTGGAGGCCGGCCATATAGTTCAGAGGACTAAAGAGCCTGCTTGGGCAGATGCAGGGGCCAGGAGTTTGACCCCTGGCCTGCCGTGCTGGCCCCACTCTCCGGGCTGAGACTGGGTGTGGTGGCATGCCGGTAATCCCAGCTCTTGTGAGACTGAAAACAGGAGGATCACTACAAGTCTGGTCTGTGTAGTGAGACTCTGTAGACCCTGTACTAAATACATACATACATATATACATACATACATACATACATACATACATAAAATAAAGTTAACATGGAAAGCAGAATCAATAAATTTGGATATTTAGAGGAGGAGAATTCCAAGGAAAAGTGTTGAAGGTACAGCCTGTTCCATTTTGCTCTGTCTGATAGAATATGAAAGGAAAAATATACAGTGAGGAAGAAACTGTTCCAGAAAAAAGCACCAGGCCATGTTGCTGGATCATTTTTCTGCCTCTCAGATATAGAAGAGGCTAAAAGTAGAAAATGCACTGTTAGGAAATCCTGCTCTGGAGCCATCCAGGAGTAGGGCTGCGCACCTGCTTCTGCCGAGAGGGATCTGAGATGCCAGGATGCGTTCTGTCTCAGCAGAAGTCAGGAATAAACATGAGCTCACACCAGCTGGCTATGCAGAGGAGCCTAAGGGTGTGTGTCCCTGTGACGTTCCTAGGAGACGCATGGGGTTAGAATATTATAAAGCAGAAGGACTGCTAGCCTGGACTGAATAAGAAGGCAAAAATGAAAGAAGGCTGACACACACTCGAAACAGGGTGAGAACCAAAGCAGCCACCAACCTGTGCTGTCTTTCTGTAAGAGGAAAGGTCCTTGGGTTCAGAGGCCTGGGGTAAAGAAGGCAGTAACCACAGTCAAGCACCCAGGGGCAGAGTCTCAAGCTGCAGAGAACTATTCCCAGGTCTTGACACTTAACGGAATTGGCCTATGGCCAAATTTTGAAGTTGCTTGGAATAATTCCTTTCTTCTTTTTATTTATAATGAGTGCCCATAAATGTCGACCACTGCTTATCTCATAGTTGTATTTTAGATTCAATACCGTGTTTTCTAGTTTTCTAAGTCCATAAATGAAGAGGAATATTTCCACAGAGTGTAACCTAACTGTAACCTGTGCAACTCATACCTGATTTAGATCATGAGATTTGGGACTTGGAGTTGATGAATTAGGTGAGGTTTTAATTTTGAGGGGCTGCTGTGCTTTGAGACTTCTGTAGATGCTGGAATAAAGTGAATATGTTTCACATGCCAGACAGCCATGGATCTTCAGGAGGTAGAGGGCACACTCTGGTAGGCTGAAAAATGACCCTCCCAAGGATAGCCAGGCCATAATATCTATGATGTTAATGCTGATCTTAATGGAAAGGATCTTTCTAGATGTGAATAAATTACAGATCTTATAGCAGAGACATTTTTGTGGATTATCTGAGAAGACCCTGGATGTATCATTATATGAAGGAGGCTGATTGAGATTTGACACAAACAAAAGCGAAGACAAGCCAGGTGTGGTGGTGCACACCTGTAATCCCAGCACTTGGGAGGCTGAGGCAGGAGGATTGCTGCAACTTTAATGCCAGCCTGGTCTATATGGTGAGTTCAAGACCAGCCTGAACTACATCGTGAGACCCTGTCTCAAAAAATAAAATAAATAAAAATAAAAGTGAATAAGAACACATGGGAGAAAAATGAAAGGAAGATAGAGGCAGATACCAGAATGATGCACTTAGGCCTCAGAATACTGGTATCCCCCAGGAGCTAGAGAACACCAGCTACAGATCCTTCGCTCTGGCCTCCAGAGGATGTGCAGCCTTGCCAGCCCCTTCATTCCAGCCCCGTGCAGCAGATTTTGAGCTTCTCTAGAATTGTGAATCAGTTTGTTACATTGGGCCACCAAGTCTGTGATAATTTCTGACAGCAGCCACAGGAAACTAATGCAGAATATTTGTTAAAAAGTACAGGCAGAAGGCATTGAGTGTAGATTTTTTTTAACCATTCTTTAAGTTCATTTACAGAAAAAAAGTATTCATTTTTAAGATTAATATTGTAAGAAAATGTGTTTTCTTTAACAAATTCATATTAAACATCATTACCCTTTTTTAAAATAAAAATTAAGTATATTATATTCATTTATACTTTGTTCCATTAGTAGCTATTGTTTAATCTTAGATGAGAGACGTTTATTTATTTATTTATTTATTTATTTATTTAGAGACAAGGTCTTACTATGCAATTCAGGCTGACCTTGAACTTAACCACAGTCTTCCTGCCTCAGCCTCATGAGTGCTGGGATTACAGGTGTGTTCCACCACACCCGCCTAGACAAGAGACTTTAAGAAAGCAGTGTAAAAAATTCTGGCCGAATCACTTGGGGACTGTTCAGTGACCAGTGTGAATAGCATCATGCTGCACACTCAGCCTTACTGATGTAATTGCATCTCTTAGGGGAAAGTAGAGGAAGCCGTGAGTGCGTTTGAGGAGCTGGTGCGCAAGTACCCCCAGAGCCCGCGAGCAAGATACGGGAAAGCACAGGTATGCCAGAGCCCTTCCCTTTCAAAAGCATTCACGCTGTTCATGTGTTCTCCGTGATTGGATTTCTCACTTGCCATAGCACGCATTTTCTCTGTGCCCTTTCTCGTTTCCGGTAGGATTTGTTTCTCCCGTCTGTGCATAAACCCAAGCAAGGAATACCACTTTCCATGATGATTAATTTTCAATGTTGTGAACGGCTGACTCTAGGAACCCTGCATGTCATTCCACTTCACCCTATAATGCTGTTTCCACTTGTGGCTCCTTTGTGCTGTATGGCTTCCAGGTGTACTAAGTAGAGGTTGCTGGCATGCTAAGCAGAGACTTTTTTAAAATACAGAGTGGAAGGTGCTTTGTTTTCTCCATTGTTTCTTTCAACTGACTCATTTCTTCCCAGCTGCCTCTTCTCCATTTCCCCCCCTCACCCCTTCATCTGGCTTTCTTTGTCCCCCAACACCTTTTGTGAAGCATGGCCACATTGACTAGCCACATGAGCCCGCCTGTGCCATGTCCTATTTTAGGCTGTGGGGTATTTGTGTTGCAGTTTTTCATCAGACAGTCAATCAGACGTGGTCACAAAAGAAGATACAGGAAAGGCTCAGGAATAAATGGAGGTAGCGCACTCCTCTCTCACAGTCAGAAGGTGCAGCACACTGTGCAGGGCCACGCTGGGAAAGATACCATGATGTCAGGAGGCAGAGGGCAAGAAGGACCTGTAGGCGTGGGCTACTACGCTCCTTGGGTTTTCATGGGGATTTCAAGGTCTGTCTGGGTGAGCAGTCTAAAATTGGATATTTTAAATAAATTAGACCGCCTAGGGACAATAGTTGAAGTTTCCAGTTGTCATGCATGTGGCCTCAGCATGAATATGGCAGAGGAATACTGCCTCTTGTGTTCAGATAGTTGAGGTAAAGCTCTGGGTTGCTTAGTTTACTTACCAAAAGCTTGCTTATCTTCTCTGTCCCTCAGGCAGAAAGGTGTCTAGGAAGTCAGGCATCATAATAACAGAAAACTGAAAAATATTTATAATATAATGAACACTCTAGAAGTCTCTATCCTTGTAGATATTATACTCTAGTGGAAAAGTTTTTAAACTACTTACTGAAAAAATATGTAGTGCCGGGCCCTGTTCTAGGCACTGAAAACATAGCCATTAGGAAAATCTAATTAAAAAGCCTCTGCTTTTGTGGTGTTTCCATTATAAAAGGGAACACAATGCGTAAGACAAATAGGTGTCATATATGTTTGCTTGTGTTGAATGCTAACGAGAACAGAAATATGGCAGGGAATAACCACTGGACAGGTGAAACTGTTGAAGTGGTGAAAAGGGTGATAGAGAAAGGTTGCTCCAAGCAGGTAGTATTTGAGTACAGCTTTGAAAGTCTTTATAAACAAATATCTATTTGAAATATAGTGTTAAAAATAGCGTCATTATATCATATTAATAATACAGGCTGCAAGGCAAAGAAAGCTAACTAAACAAAGAGCAAATCTATTAAGGTTTTTTGGTTGCAAACAGTATGTTTGAAAGTGACAGGGAAGGTGGTATTTTAGATAAGGTGCTCAAGAGGAGCTCTCTCACGAGGTGACACGTGGCTGAGATATGACAAGGTTGTAAAAGGCTGTCCAGACAGGAGGAACACCCAGGAAAAGGCCAGGATGTAGAGAAGCAGTCCTGGCACAATAAGCCCACCAAGAAAAAAATGACGTACTGAGGGAGGGGGTGAAGGAGGAGGCCAAGGAGCCCGAGGCCTTAAGGATATTATTCTACTGGTTCAAAAAAGACTTCAGAGGCTGTTATGCATGGGTATGACAGTCGGGTTGTTCTTCATGAAGAATGAGTTGGGTGCCCAGGGAGCTGCACAAAGGACAGGCAGCTGTGTTGGTGTGAGCAGGAGGAGGCGCTGGTGGCCTGTTTGTGGTTATGACCATGGAGATTGAGGACTGGGCAGACGCTGGAGCCACCAGACTTAATGGAGGCTTCGACTGAGAGATCAAAGAAAGGGCAGGTTCAAGCTTCTCTTCTGGTTTTTTGGTTTGGCCAAATGAGGAAGCTATAACATCAGTTACTTACTAGGACAAACAGGTTTGGATGGGTGCTGAAATCCAGAGATCACTTTTGGTCTTGTCAAGATTGCAATGCTTATAGGCATTTACGTGGATGTAACGAATGGAGCACTCACTGGATCTCTGGAGTTCTGAACTCAAAATAAAAGCCCAAGCTGGCATGTGCAAATGCATTAGTCTTTAAAGCTCCTCTGTCCTCCCTAGAGGTATGTAAGTGTCAGCCGTGCTGGGAAACGATAGGTGCAGAGCTACAGAAATGCTTCAGACCTGGGAGAGCCACACTGTGCTGCGCTGGGCTGTGCCTGCCGGCACTTGTGAGTAACACCCAACTCTTGACAGCTCTATGGCCTAAATAGCTTGTCTTACTCTGAACTAAAGATGGTGGCTCTCGAGGTCCAGGTGCTCAAATTCTTCCAATCTCATAGAAAGTCATTAAATTTATTAATGAAAATTTGTAAAAATCAAATTTGTGAAAAAATTAGTGTATCTTATCCATGCTACAGACCAGGCCTAAGAGACAGCACCTATAGGACTTTTGTAAATTATTCTTGCCAGCAGTCCTTCAAAATTCTAAACTGCATTTGCCATTAAGTAGAGAGTGTGTGTTTGCTACCGAAAGTGCATGCCTGTTCTGATAAGTGATGTGCTTTGTCATTAAGATTAAGTCCTTTGATTAAGGAAACACATCAATAAAAGAAAATGGTTTTTGCAAACACTAATTTAATTATAGCAAAAATATTTTATGCTTTGAAATTTTTTTTTATGTTTGGTTTTGATAATGTGTACCAAAGTCTAAATACAGGCAGTGCTTTTGAAACATGTTGACTGCGATATTTGTATCATTATTTCAGAGAAGCGTACTGAGATCTAGGCCTCAGGCAGTAGTTGTGATCTTTAAAGTACTTTAAATAGCTACAGATGTTATTGATATTAATGTTAATGTGGCATAAAGCAAAATTTAGGCATAGTAAATTAAATTTTAATAGAATAATTTATAAGAAAACGTAAATCCATAAGAATTTTGAAGATAAAACTTCAACAGAAGATGGATTTAATAGGGATGAATTAATTATGACTTTCATTCTTTGTTAGCACATTCTGCAATTACTCTTGACTAAACAAAATAAAAATTCAGCAAAATTAAGCCAAATACAATCGATAGCATCTACCATTTATAAAATAGGATGGATATTGGCTGGTCCTTATCATCAGTATAAAAATCAAGTTTGAATAAGCTCCCTAAAGATTGGACACAAACCTTAAACAGTAAACTCTATTCATGGCATTATCTTCCACAAACATTAATGCCTCCAAGGCCAAAAATGACCCCTCTCCTGGGAGGTTGGCAAGATGAATTATTTCATCAGCAAAAGGCTGTGAGATGTTCATGTCCTGTGTTAAATATTCCATTCTAGCCCACCTTGTTTTATCTGCACATGCTCAACTCTTAGAAAAGCAGCATAAAAATCTGATTTTCAAACAAAATTCATTGAAGAGATTTTTTTTAAGGAATTATATGACATTTAAGTACTAATATTTTCCCAATTCTGTAGATTGTAAACAAAGAGCAGTGGGGCTCAGAGGAAGAAGAGACAAGGCGTACAGATCGTGTCATCTTTCTTTTCAGTAAAGTTTAGAAAAACCTATTCCTGTCTTGATGAAGAATTTCCTTGGTAGGACTTTGTCCTTCTTCTCACCTTTGGTGACGTCCAGTTCTGGGATATTTGGTAGCTTTGTAGGTGCCAATGGAGAAGATGAACTTGATAGTGTCAATAGGGCTTTCTCAGCTCTAGGATTGTTTCTGTTATGTTCACAGTTTGGTGAACTAATTCACCATAACCTACTTCAGAAGCAGGTGACGGCTAAACAGAAAAAAAAAAAAAAAAAAAAAGCTTGATATGAGCATACAGTGGAAGGCCGTGGTGGGAGCATGACCAGTATGGGCTGCTGACCTGGGCCTTTTCTCCTGGTAGATAAATGTATTTGGGGAAGTAAGTTGTAGATTTGAACGGAGTCATAAAGGGTCTGAAGCATGCTTTCATCAAGCAAGGATGCATGCTATCTTTTTTTAATCTTAGAGATTTTTTTCTACCAATTTCCTTTCTTATTAATGTATTCCCACACCAGTAGCATGGGCATGACTGTACCAAGTGGTCAAGCCTCCCAATGGGACAGTCGTGCATGCACCATCAGTGATCCAGAGCTTCCTGGCAGTAGGACATGTGAGTGAAGACCCCTTTGTGAACATGGTAATCTGTCTGTTTCTATCACCACTACTTCAGTTCTAGCTTCATCATTTCTGGAAACTTAAGCTAATCAGTACACATTATCAAGTTATTTCATTGATGAATTATTTTCTTAAAAGCTTCTCATAGATGTCTCATTTTATCCATTGGCATTGAGTATCGTACTGGTTTTTGTTTTTTCCATCTGAGGGTAAGGGAGAGACGGATCATTTTCTTACTCATCCTCAAATTGGGGAGTTTTGCTTCATTTGGGTTCTGCATATATGTGTATGTTGACCCAGCACACACTTTCACAAGGTATACATACAGACAGACATGTGTACATTTTTTTGGTAAGAATTTTATATATGCCACTTTCAGCATCTTACTGGTGTCAACTTTCCTTAAATGCTTATCCTTAAATTCTGTCTACTGTATCCAATGAGCTATTGGTGACCGTTTTCTACATTCTCTTTCTCTTCCTATGTCCAGTATTTCATTCCCCGTTCTTAGTCTGCAACTGTGAATTTTAACTTCTCTTTCACTAAAGAAATAGCAATGTCTAGAGACTTGCCACCACTTGCACTGCGGTCCTAATGAGCTTGCCCTATGTCTGTGTGCTCTGGCGCCTGCTGTTGGCGTGGACGGACACCTGCTGGCTGACACGGTCCTGATTTATTCAGTCATCACTACTGAGTCTTTTCGCATCACGCAGAACCATATCCATGATGTCTCATCCTTGGAAAGCTCTCCGTGCTCTGCCTGCTGGTACACTTGTCTTCATTTACACCTAAACTTTTTGAAAGAGTTGTTTCTAGATCCATCCCTCCCATGTCTTCTTCAGCCTATTCCATGCAGGGTCACGTCCCTAACTGCGCCACGGATGTGCTCTTGTTGAGGCCACCAGCACCTCCACACTGCCCCATCTGGGGGGTTGTTTTCTCAGTTCTCATCTGGTTCACTTTAACAACTGGGTCTCCTCTTCTTGCAACCCTTTTACTCTTGACGTTCAGAATACCAGTGTTTGTTATTATTGTCTTCTTACCACATTCCTCTGTTGTTTTTGCTGCTCTTCCTTTATATTCTTGACTTCTAAGGGCCTTGAAACAGTGGAGATGTTAGGGTTCACCTTTTGGATCTCTTTTTATCCCAGTGTGCAGTCACAGCTCTTCTGGTTTGGCAGAGCAAAGTGTATTTGTCTGACCTCTCTCCTCACCCATAGGTCCACATGTACTTTCTGAGTCAGTTTCTTCCCTGGGCAGTTGGGGTTTAATATATCCTGAACTCAACTCCTGATTCCATGTTCCCTCTAGCCTGCTTCTCATTCCTAGACAATGACATTTTCACAAAAACCTTGAAATCATCACTGACTTCTTTCCCTCCTTTCTCTCATTCCCTGTATCCCTTCCATCTGCAAATCCATTGGCTTTGACCTTCAGAATATCTAATCTAATCAGTCCTTACCGCCTCTGTTCCTGCAGCCTTCACCCAAGCCACCATAATCCTGCCTGGCTTCCCTGCTTCTTCCAACCCCTGCTCTCAGCACTGCTGCTGGTATGATCCTTTCAACATCCACATCAGATCATGGTGAAAGCCCCATGTCTTGCCATCTTGCTCAGTGTACCAGCTTTTGGAAGCTGACCAGGCCGGCTGTCTCTGGCCCCGTCCATCTTCCTCCCCTCTAGTGCACCTGCCTTTCCTCTCTGCCCCACCTTAGAACTGTTGCTTATGTTCTCTCTGCTGGCCGTACTCTCCTTCCGCACAGTCAAGGGTCTTCTCCTTCCCTGTCCGACCCTCTCCAGTAACACTGATTCCGCGAGCAGCATCTGCTCAGCCAGCCCTCCTTGGCACGCTCCGTGTCCGCAGCACTTGCACCCACCGGACACATGGTCTCCCTGAGCTTTAGCTTGCTATATCATCCTTCCTAAAGCTGTTTGTTTCATTTGCTTTTTCTGCCTCGTGGGTGGAACAGTCTTGCCTCCAGGAAATAGCTGTTGAATGAGCGACTGAGCACAGAAAAGGAAGGGCAGGAACTGTAGGTCATGATCCTGTCTGTATTTCATTAGTATATGATATGAGAGAAATCTTGGTCTGCGCTAGCATGTATTGGTCTTGCACTTAGGGTGTTGTTTCTCTTCTATAGTTTAGTGACTTTTTTTCATAGTATTCAAACAACATTGTTTTACCTTTTTCATTGATTTTTGTCTCTTGAAAAAGAGACTGATCTGAGATTTTTTTAAAAAGTGTCTGTAAGTTCATTTTGTAATGATTCTTTGGCAGTTGCAGCTGTGGCCTGCTGAGGACACTGATCTAGTTTGGGGTTTCTTCTAGTGTGAAGATGATCTAGCTGAGAAGAGGAGGAGCAACGAGCTACTCCGCAGAGCCGTCGAGACCTACCAGGAGGTGGCCGGCCTGCCTGGGGTCCCCAGCGACCTGCTGAAGCTGACTTTGAAGCGGCGGTCGGAACGGCAGCAGTTTCTGGGTAAGATGCAGTGAGATAATTCTGTAGGAAATGGCCTGCTTCTCTCTTACAGAGCCTCAGACCTGGGCATCCTCTTAGAAGAGTTACGTTACGTGGAAGGAGACCTGGATTTTCCAAGTAATTGCAAGTAGTAAATCGACTATTTTAGGCTGACTATCTCTAAAACTGAAATAGCATGTGTGTACTCTCTTGCCCTCCACCGTTTTAAGAGGGCAGCCAATAAATAGGGTGCTGAAGGTTTGTGTACTTTGCCTAAAGAGCCATAGCTCAGGGGTTAATGGGCCAGAATCAGAAACCTCCTGGGTTGCCAATATTTTTCTTTGTTAAAGTTATTTATAGCACTATTTATTTATTATGTGTTTAGTATAGGGTCTCACTATACAGATCAGACTCATAGAGATCTTTCCTGTTTTCAACCTCCCAAGTGCTGGTATTATAGGCGCGTGCCACCATGTCTAGTCTCAGTCACTGTCTCAGCACGTCCCGGGGGCAGGACTGGTGGACTGGCACAGCATGCCAGGGATTGAACCCCTGTCCCTGTGTCTGCCTAAGCAGGTGCTTTAATCCACTGACCTGTCTGGCTGGCCCCATGTTTCCTTTTCCTTTTTTTTTTTTGTTTTTAGAGGAGTTTTAGGAGTTCCAGTCACCTCAAACATTTTACATATAAATCTTGAATGTTTTTCAAGGAAAATAATAGCAAATATATTTTAAATCATAAAGCAAATTTGCAAACCCTTTAGAAAGAGCAGTACAAAGCACATTCTCTGTTGACCCGGTTCCGTCTCAAAGGCAAGGAGGACTACTGTACCCTCGCGTCACTTCAGCAAGGCGTATGTTATCTTTCCTGAACGTATTAGTGAGGATGGATCTGAGCCATGTGTCACTGGTGAGGTTGGTGTGGGGCTGGCTGTGTGGTTGTGTGGACAGGTCCTAGATGTTTTTCAGGGGAGCTTGCATGTATGGGAGCAGCTGGCCCTTTTGTAAGTCCTCCAAAGAATGTAATAAATGTGGTCTGTCCCTCTGCAGATGACCAGAACAGTAAGAATAGAGCCCAGCTCATGATTCAAAGCTATGAGGAGCAGTCAGTGGGATGTCTGCTCACAGCAGCCTGACCAGCAGGAGGACACACATGGCCCAGCTTCAGGATGGAGCAGCACAGGCTCCAGTCAGGAGTGGCAGCAGGAGTGCTGGCCTTAGACGGAGTCCTTTTCCTGAATTCTGGTGGCCCGCCACTGTACGGCTCTACTTAGCCTAGTTTCATTGATTCTGTCCATAAAATGGGCATATTTTGTTCATCATAGGTTTTTAAACATTAATTTTCCTTTTTAAAAATATATTAAAATAGTAGAATTTATTCTACTATATTAAAATACTAGAATCAAATTAGAATTATGGAGTTTTGAGTTCCTTTTAAATTTCATGCCAAGTTTTTCACTTATCTTACCCTATTTCCTGCCTTCAAAAGAAGACTACCTGTGAAATCTAACCTTTTTCTCAGTAGTCCTCCAATATTTGAATGTATCCTTTCTGCTTCAGTGAGAAGGAGGCAAGGTCACTTGAGGTGACCCTGAGTCGAATGGGCAAAAATGTTACTACACATGACAGGACGGTGAAGTAGGCTTAAAATAGAGTTGAGGTTCAAGTGCAGAGCGCAGGGGACAGGAGCAGATGGCTGTAGGAGGGATTTTTATCTGGTTGTTGTAATTTTCAAGAAGAGTTTAGAAGCACCCAAAAGAGTGAGCCTAGGTGGACAGGTAAGGAGAAGGCAAAGAGCAGGAAAAGTAGACTCAGATTTGTTGGTGAGGGAGGGGCTGGCTGAGCAAGCCTGGATTTGTGGTTGGAATGTATGACCAGCAGAGGGCGCAGGCCACAGGGTGAGGCGGCTTTGTGTCAGCGGTAATGTTATTGGAATAAACAATTCCAATCACTGACAGTATTACAGTATTCCTGGGCAACTAAAGCTGTTTGTTGGCTTCAGGTACTTAAGCTTTTAAAAAATCTTGTGCTGCTTTTATTTTTCACATTCTCTTACACAGTTTGTGTTTCCAGCTTTGACAAGCAGTGATGAGAACTGGCCCCAGACATTTAAAATTTCACCAGAGAACCTCAGCAGTATGTTAAACCTGTGCTTTTCACGTTTCATACAGTGCACAGTAGCCTGTCGTCCACCAGAGGGTCCCATAATACTGGGTGATACATCTGTCACAGCCCTCCTCGGCACTTAGAGAAGAGCTCACTTAATTGGAGATTGCATCAGCCATTCAGGGCTCAGCACCTGTTCATGAGTTAGGCGGGGGCTTGACCTTGAAGTCACCTAGAACTTTTGTCCTCTACTTCTAACTTTAAAGCTAATAGATACAAAAGTATCACGGTAAAACATTGTTATAAGTAATTGATAACTAAAACTTTCTAAGGAGGAAAAGGAAAAACAATTGAATGATCAATTTACAAAATGAATGTCTTTAAAAATGCCTTTAATCAGTATCATATTTTGCACCTATTTATAGAAATTTGATATCATTACCACTGCATCATGAAATCCTGCTATGTATTTAATACATGCTTAAAAGAGAGAGTCACATTTAAGCTCTGTGAAATAACTTGTATTCTCAGTACGACAGTATCCATAATGTTATATTGGTTCTTTTTCCTACCCCCAAATCAGGTCACATGAGAGGATCCTTGCTTACCCTACAGAGACTGGTTCAACTGTTTCCTAGTGATACTTCTTTAAAGAATGACCTTGGTGTGGGATATCTCTTGATAGGAGACAATGCCAATGCCAAGAAGGTGTATGAAGAGGTAGGTTTCAATCTTCTATTAACAGTGTCAAGTTATCTTATTTGTTTTCTGGGGTTTTCTTGGTACCAGGAATTGAACTCAGGATCTTGCACTTGCTAGGCAGGCACTGTGCCGCTAAGCCATATCCCTGGCCCTTGTCAAGTTATCTTGAATATTAAGTCCTAATACTATTTTTTTTCCTGCAAATTACATATAATATGCGCAGTTTCTCATTCCCTTTAAGTTTAATAGCATTTATTAATAGAGTTTGCATATTTGTTTTCACATTGCTTTTTTGTTTTTATCTTGATTAGATTTTAAATTTTTATTCAAAGTCTTCAACTGTAATTGTGATGTTTTTAAAACTTGAAATTTATCAATCCATGGAGAGCCTCTCTTAAAGTGTTCTTCAAGACAAAAGAAGAGTAACACAAGTTCCTACAAATGTAAAAACATTTAATCTTTTCCTTGTTTGTACTGGAAGTACAATTGCAAGAAAGCTGCAGACTCTGCCTCTCGGGCATGTGAAGTAGAGTGCTCACTCGGCAGAAAGGCAGTGACTTTTTTGATCCTTTGACAAAGATGTCTTTCAAAGAATTTCTGTATTATAATGGATATTTTAATAGATCGCCCTGAGTTGCAAGAACCTAGAAAACTAGCTCCTTCAGGCAGTAAGGGAATTCATTTGCTACAATACAAACAGGATGCCAAATAAGCTTCAAAGCTGGAGAAAGAGAATGCCTCTGTAGAAGAAAGATGAATCTGTTGCCTTGTTCTTTGATGTGGACCTGTGAATTAGTGGTTTTCAAGCTGGTGCAGTGTACACTGAAATGTTACCATTCTGTAGTAGCCAATGTGATTCTTTCCCTTTTTAAAATGCTGTCAAGTGTAGCAACCTTACACTCTGTCTAGGGACTGGGTCCACTCACAAAGTGGTGCTTTCCTCTGTGTATTGCTGTTGGTGCTTCACTGAAAATCAGTGAATTTCAAAGTTGTCCTCTCACCCTTATTATAATTTTGTATATTCTGAGGCAGCAGAAATAAGACCTTTGCTTTAGTGGCATCACTATTGCCTACGCAGTGTGGAGTGAGTTTATAGTGTTAAAAATCTAATGACCTCTTCCAGGTCATAAAATAATTCCTATTTGCTCCTCAGTGGCTCCTTGTCTTGCTAAGTTTGGTTAAAGGAAGCATGATGGATCTCAGTAATTCTGGGTCTTATGAATTGAAGGATTATCTAACTCTAGTGAAATACACATTATTTCACTACTATCGGAGATCACAAAGATGGAAATGTAGATTTTCTTCCTCTCACCTTCCCTTCCTTTCTTTCTCTTCCTTTCCCTCCCCTTTCCTATAGATTTCATCTAAAATGTACACACACAAGCAATACACATGAAATCATTTCACCGCACAAAGGATGCCCATCATCAAGAAATCAGATAGCAGCAGTTGTTGGCAGGGCTGTGGCAAAAGGAGCCCTTCCTCAGTGTCGCTGGGCATGTAGGCCACTACGGCCACTTTGGAAATGAGCTTGGTGATTCCTTAAAACACTGAAGCTTGAAATTCCATGTGACCCAAGTCTTCCCCTTCTAGGGGTCTTCCCAGAAGAGTTAAAGACATCATATTACAGTGATCCGTGCATATTCATACTTACAGTAGCATAATTCGTAATAGCTATACCTTAGAAGCAGCCCATATAGCCATCATCAGATGAGTGTATAAAGAAAATGTGGTGTCTACACACAGTGGAGTATTTATTACTCAGCCACAAAAGGACATAAACTTGAGTCAAGGTGCAGCCAAGAAAATGGATGCACCTGGAGACTTTAATGTTGAGTGAAATAAATCAAACACACAAATTTAAATGTCACATGTTTTCTCTTGTATGAGAAACCTGAAGTATAAATAAATAGCAACTAAAAGACAAATCATTGGAAGCAGGGAGACGGATCTCTCTGAAGGGGGATAAGATAAAGAGATGGAGCGAGAGCAGGGAAAGGTGATAGGAGGGGTTAGTGTTCATCACATCCACGCATCAGCTGCATGCCAGAAGTGTAGACATGATGCACTGCAAACACATGTGCAAAAGAAGGGAGATCAGAGGCAGGCAGGGGGTAGCGAGGGGAAGGGGACAAATAAAGGGCATTAAGAGATTTACAGGCACCACTTTTCCACAAGAAATTCTTGTGGGAATTTCTTATAAATTACTGCTTATAAAATTTAAAAGAAAGCATCAAAAATTCAGAAAACTATCAGTGATTTTTATAAGTTTATCCCAAGATAAAACCATTGTGAAGAAAAATAAAAATTTCTTCTGTCTTTCCTCCGTCTCTGCCCTTCCTTCCTTATAGAATTCTTTCATATTTTTCTTCACTCTCTTCCTTTCTCCTACATGCCTCTTTCTTTTCCTCCTTTCTTCTAAAAAGCCTGGTCTAAAAAGCTTTCTGGGTGCCAGGCATATGGAGAGTTGAGGCGGGATCTGAAACCACGCTGGCCATTGACACTACACTTAGGACATGTCCTTCCTCACCTTGTTAGGACTGTTCTGAGTGTATTCATCCCTATTGTCTAAAGCAGTTTACCTTAAAACATAACATTTATTTGCTGTTGTTGATGCGTTTAGAACCATGATCTCATCTGACTCAACATAAAAGGAAGGCCAGGGCCTACAATACAGCCACATCACACCCCTGAGTAGGTGTCTTCTTAAAGAAGCATGAGCAGGCTGAAAATAGTGTGGCCCTTGCCTTTTTCCCACTCTCACGTCCCAGTTAACCAGCTGTGTCTAATGGTCTTTTGTTCCTTAACCAGCTGTGTCTAATGGTCTTTTGTTCCTGACATATTTCTCTCCATTGAAATCATTTTCAGAAAACTAATAATTGGAATCTTTATTTTTCTTCATGTTTTCTAGTTTTGAGTAAATTTGTAGAAATGATTGGCAGTTCCCTTTTTTATTTTTTTGTTTCTTTGTTTCCTTTCTTTTTTTGTTTTTTGTTTTTAATGTGTTTAGTACAGGGTCTCACTATACAGATCAGACTGGTAGTGATCCTCCTGTTCTTAGCCTCCCAAGTGCTGGGACTACAGGCACATACCACCATTCCCAGTCTCGATCACTGTCTCAGCGCCCCCAGCACTGCACGCCTGGGATCAAACCCCAACCCTTGCCTCTGCCTAAGCAGGCGCTTTAATGCACTGAGCTCTCTGGCTGGCCTTTTTTTTCTGATCTTCTGCTGCTTAGTTTCAACAAAGAGACAGCTTAGAAATGGGTGGGTGTAGACTGCTCACATGTGCAGACTGCGGAGCTGCTCACCAATCTAATGTCAAGTTAGTGCCACCTCAGTGACCCAGGCCACTCTCAGTCCACAGGCAAGCATTGTTCCTGATGTGTTCCTGCTCTTATACCTCACACTTATCTTTTACTCAGTCAGCTTCCATTTATTAAAACCCACCTCTGCTAGCTCAGAAATGGTACTTATGAAACAAACACACTGCACCTTCGTGACATTTGCAATCTGGTACTAGATCATTCGTCTCTGTTTTCCCTCTCGAATAACTTTGAAATCAGATGCTCACTGTCTCTGCCCTGGATTAACATGAGTCTTCTCTGCTCATTTGTACTTTTTTCTGGGATTCATAAACTCAACACAGTCTGAGCATCTACCTTGGTTTCTACTCAGAGAAGTAGTTTTTAAACACACTTAATCATTTACTCTTCCAGGTAAAAATGTTGAAGTATACACCTTTGGCATGTTTGGTTATGAATTTATAGGTTTCTTATATGTATACCCTAATACAGCATGTACTTTATAAAAAGTATATGTACCTAAACAAGTTTTAAAAATAAAATGAAATATTTAAAGTGTGTTTTAAATTTTATTTGATAAAGAAAATCTTTCATGTTCGAAAATTAATATTCTGACAATATCGAGTGCATTGTTATTTACGGTTGCGGCAATCCTCCCTTCACTGTGATGGGTGCGTTCTGGGGCCCAGGGTCAGTGCTCAGACCGAGGATAGGACCGAGGCTCACCGGGGCGGCACATTGCAGTGAAGCAGCAGGCCCAGGAGTAGGAGAGGTAGGAGTCACTGTGACACCACAACAGTCCTCTGGCGACAGACATGGCTACTATATCTGTGTATTAGTTTTTCCCATTGCTGACTTGATACGCAGCCCACAAGTTAAGGAATAGTTTCACTTGGTCCGTGGCTTTAAAGCATTCATTCCGTGGCTGCTGGCCCCAGGAGGAAGCTTCGTGGCAGAAAGAGGGGCAGAGAAAGGCGTGCTGAGAGGCAGCAGGAGGGCAGCGTCCACGGGGCAGCTGGGCTCTCACGGCCACCGCCGACCCGCAGAAGCCCTCCAGAGTGTGCGTAATTGAGGAGGCGCCCCCGAGCCAGTCCATTTGACAGTTACGCGTTCCCATCACGTCCTGTCCCTTCACAACTCAATATCCATCTCCTTAAGCCATACTCCAGTAATCAAGATGATAAGTGAGTCACTTTGTTTACTACCATACAACAATCTTGCAGAGATGAAAGCCCAGGAATTCTGCTCTCAAGTCTCGGCAGTTCCAGCAGTTTTCAGAATTCCAAGTGAAATAAACCAGATACTTACACTTGAATATCACAAGGTTTCTCTTATACAAGGGCCCAAAATATAAAGATCAATATAAAGGCATATGAAAGTAGGGAGATAGACCTTTCTCATATGGGAGGGCATTAAGAGATGAAGGGTAAGGATAGAAATGAGATGTCGTTGTCATGTGCCAGCCCCCCTCAAGGAATGGACTCATATTGGATGCATGTACTAATGAAATGTTCAACTGAAAAGAAAACTCTACTGAGGAAAATTTTAGCTGTGAAGTTCTATAAAAATTAACAAGTTACAGAGCTGGGAAGATAGCTCAGCGCTTAAGCAACTGACTGGCAAGTACAGGGTCCTGAGTTTGAGCCTCAGTACCACAAAAAAAAAAAAAACAAAAAAACCCCAACAAGTTATATAACCCCAAGGTTCAATCTTATGGGGACCATGTTCCCATTCTAAATGGGAAGAAAGAGGGCATGGAAAAGAATCATGAGTGAAGACCAGCAAGATAAACATTCTATCTTGTCCCCATGTCCCGCATCTGGGGCACGGGGTAGTGAAGGTGACCTTGCTGTTTGCAGCCCACGTGGCCTCTCTTCCTTGGTCTGGGGCCAGCCACAGCCTGCAGTGCTCTGCAGCAAACATTCCATGCTCCTAGCGCCTCCCATTTCCTGAGCTCTGTGCTGTGCTTTGCCTTCATTCCCTCAGCTTCATGCATCGCCCTCTTGGCGGCTCCCTGCCTGCTTTGCAGGCCTTCCTTGGAAACTTGACCGATGCCAACCTGACCCCATTCTGAGTGCGGGTAAAACCAGCATCCTATGGATGAGGTCAAGGTCTGCTCCAGCAGCAGCAGTAGTCAGGGCCCCCAGGCCATAGTGGCAGCAACCTCTGAGAGCTCGGGTGGTGGAGTATAGACCAGTAAATGAATCCTGGAGAACCGATTCTGCAGGTGACCCTTCTCCCACGTGAGGCTCAGGCACTCTTTTGAAATGAAAGGGTACACTTCTACACTGCTTAACTGAATTTTGAGATACCTTCGAGGCATCTTTTCATCCCTGTACAAATTTTTTTTTTTTTGTTTTTAACCTCAGTAATCTTAGCAATCATAGATCCTTTGGCCCCAACTTTACATGTGATTCACTTCGGGCTGAAATTTAAGATTTTTACATTTGTCTCCTCTTTTTAGTCCTTATTATCAATTTGTCTAAAGCAGCCAGCAGTACTCCTACCACTTCCTAAATGTTAGACTGCCCTGAAATTTCCTCTGACCAGTAAGTCAGCCCACCACCCTTAATCCCAGTCTCTTCTAAATTCTCAAGACATGGTGAAAATATAACACTTTTTTTCTTTTTTTGCCAACGTATAAGACTCATGGCTTGCAGTCAGTTGCCAGCAAAGTCCTTCTTGCCAGCTGAAGCCCTTCTTGCCAGCTGAAGCCCCACGAGTCCAGCCTTTATTGTTTATATCCCTGTCAGCATCTGATCTTCTGAGGTCTGACTAGGGTCACCCATCAGGCTGTGCTCACAGAACTGAGGGCTTCTCTAGTTCACATCTCCAAACTCCTCCTGCAAAGCAGTTCCAAAAGCTTCTGAACCACATGGTAAATTATGGCCACAGGAATGACCCTTCTGCTCTGGTATCAGTTTTCTATGTCAGTTAGCTTGCCCTTTGCTGGGGCAAGTTTCTCCACACACACAACTTGAAGGAGGAGAGGTTTATTTGACTCCTGGTTTCAGAGGAGTCTGTCTGTGGTCAGCTGACGTCAGGGTAGAAGCATTAGCACAGAATGGAGTGGCCTACAGAGTTGCCTAGTTCTTGGCAGCTGGGAGGCAGAGCAGAGGAATAACAGCAGGGAGGAAGAGGCCGGGACCAGATGGAGGGCCCCAGGGCACAAACGTCCATGAACACTCACATCTGTGCTTTGCTAATTCCTGAGATGGCTCCTAAGCCAACCAAGTTGACAGTGAAGCTTAACTGTCACAGTAATTAATTTTGTCAATTACTTGTGATGATGACTGTGTGCCTACTATAGGCAGAATGGTCATCCATGTAGCTGTAATAATTATAATAATCCCTTCATAGCAATGTGGCACAAGCATGAGCTAAACCTTTTCAGTTCAGTTTCAGAGATAATGACTAATCTGCCCTGGGGGGAAGTGCTATGGAAGGTGCAGAAATGGCAGGTATGTGCTTCCAGAAGTTTCTTTAGGAAGAAAAGCCCAGCATGCATTCAGCTCACACAACCCTGTGTTTAGCACAGAGTTCTTGAGGACCCTCTGTGCCAGGCATTGAAGGTGAGCGGTGTAGCATGCAGACAAAATTTCTAGAGAAAATATAGGAAATAAAGAATATAATAGGTCAGATGGCTGAGTGCAAGGAAGGAAAATAAGCCGGGATTACAGTAGTTACTAGTCCTGGGTGAGGTCTGCGCTAGCAGTAGGCCTGGTTGTCAGTGGTAGGCTTCCTGAGGTAGCAAGCTGAGCAGGGCTCCTTCCTTCAAGTAAGGCAGTGAGCCATCTGCATGCCAGAGGGAAGAGTGTGTGAGCCAGAGGGGCACTGAGGGCAAAGGCTCTGTGGCTGGCTAACTTTGACTTACTGTGGGCAGCAAGAAGTACAGCATAGTTGGAGCGGGGACAGGGCAAGAGAGGAAGCCAGAGACGTGGAGAAGCCCATCTGGGGAGGCCTTGTGGGTGGTCCTTGGAACTTGGTCTTTCACTCCCACTGAAATGGACCAAAGGAAGGATGAGATCTGACCCAGGTTCTAGCAAGTTCCTCATGGTCCCATGTGGGGAACAGACTGCAAGGGAGAAGAAGGTTGGCAGTTAAGAGGTTCCTGTACAGGTGAGAGGGATGGCTTGACTTGGGCAGGGGGGCGGTGGTGAAGGAAGTGACAGGTGTTATGGATCTGCATGTACGGTGAAGGTTGTATTGTTTGGATTTTGAATGGATGTGGTGCAGGATCTGACTCATGAAAACGTGAAAGCGTGGGCCTAGTGGAAGCAAGCCCACAGTGCACTCCCCTCCGGGGTGAAGTCTCTATGCTGGCTGTGGCTTTCCTGTTCCCACTCAGGCTGGAGGTTGAACAAACTAGACGCACGTCTTTTCTCTATATCTGCCCAACTCAGGCCTTCTTCTTTCTCTTTTGTTCCAAAAATTCATTTGTGTAAGCAGCTTTTCAAGTTGAATATGGTTGTTTTGATTTCTTACTGCTGATATTTAGAGACATTTTGTGTGATTTATTTTTAGATCATAATAAACACACATAATAAAAAACAGTGATATGATGTAGATAAAATATTTACCTGGATTTGATCACCGACATCACGCTCAGTTCTTAAAATAGTTTGAGTCCCAGGAAATTTCTGTTTGGTGGGTGAATCCTGATATAGAGTATGAATGCAAATTTAAATTTTCTTTTAAGTAAGACAATGTAATTATACAGAACAATATGTAAGAACCATTCAGAATTGTCTTAAAGCATAGCAAATTTAGAACAGCTTTCCCTAACTACTAAAAAACCCCCCAAAACTAAAGTCATATCAATTGACAGATACTTTGCTAATTTGCATTGTTAAAGCCGTGCTTCAACAGCTACTGCCTCTTCACACATTTCCTTTTTTCTTGAAGAATCAGTGTATGTATGTGAACACATACTGATTTGAGAGGAAAAGGGCCCTGTAAGTTTCTTGATTGCAATGAGACAAAGTGCTGTGGTGTTTTAAACTGTAGTCTTCTGATCCAGTGTGAGTAGAGCAAGCTAATTAAAGTTTTCTTTGACAGTCATTTGCACAGTTCATAATGCATCACAATAGCTCTTCGCTGTCCTTGAGTGCAGGTTCTGAATGTGACACCTAATGACGGCTTCGCCAAAGTCCACTACGGCTTCATCCTGAAGGCGCAGAACAAGATTGCGGAGAGCATCCCCTATTTAAAGGTGATCAGCACTGCTCTTCCTCCCTTTTCATCGTGTAGTTCCTTTGAGTTGTTCAGATACCCTCGATGATGCCTGTAGGTTGATTGGCATGCAAGGCTGCATCTTTTCATCATCAGAGTGTGCCCATTCAGAGCGTCATATGTAGACATACAAGCATGTGAGCAGGGGCTGTTGGGAAGAGACTTTATGAAGAGAAGTTCATAGAACCGAAACTGTTATAGTTTTAAATAAAGGCCAAAGTAGACAAAATTATTGATACAATGTTTTAAAAAATGAACAATCCAGGAAAGGGCTTATAATAAACTAAATAAAGTGAGGTGACAGATCCAGCCTGAAGAGGTGAAACCCCCAAAAGCATATCTGATACCTCAAAATACTAACATTAAGAAGTAATTTTTTCTCTCACATATGTCATTGAATCCTTGTTATTCACTGAATCACATTTGGTCCAGCTTAAGACTATCCAATAGAGCTTTCAGCCATGATAGAAGACTTCTCTGTGTTCTCTACTGCGTGGCCAGTGGCCACATATGCCCACTGAACACCTAAAATAGGCAACTGTGACCGAAGAAAAGAATTTTAAGTCTTAATTAATGGTGCTTGAAAAAGTGACACGTACCTAACAGCTACTATATCGAGCAAGTTAGAAGTTGTGGTATATTCCACTTCTGTAATCTCTTTCTTTTACATTAACTTTGGAGATCCCGAATAGCAACCCACTGATTACAAATAGTTGTGTTTTATTTGGCCAGCACAGTTCTACTGAAAAAAAAAATCAAATTGTTTGCCTTGAGAATCCAAACATGTTGAATAGTCATTCCCACTTCTACTTGCTTTTGAAAGTTCTTATCTGACCCATGACGTTGGCTCAGCACCCTGGGACACAGTGTTGGGCAGCGACACCCTGAGATGGATGTGTGCTCCCATTAGTCCTGGCTGTTGGGAGCCTTTGTAAAGCTGTGCAGTCCCTGCCTGGGTCATGGAGGCATGTGTGTTCCTGTGATTTAAAGTGTTCTCCTTACTTGTCCTCTTACCTAGGAGGGCCTAACTGTATTTTCTCATCTTTAGAGATAGGACATCATGGTTAGCTAGCAAGCAGGGGTGTTGAGTATCAGCCAGTCCATCGTGTTGCTTGCAACTTTCTAGTATTATATTAATAAAATTCCTCTAAGTAAAAGGAGAGGGACTTCGTTTTT